AAATTATGAGACTAATTTGCAAAAGCAGAAATCGAATTGAAAAAACCTTATTGGATGAGAATTTGTGTTATAATGAAACCGAAAATCACATAGATCTTTGCAGGGGGTTTAAAGGTAGTGACACCATTATCGATAACTTGAAAGCAAGAACGCGTAATATCATCATTAAACGCGTAATATAAAACTTATATACTAAATATAGAATGAATGAAAATAATTCATGCAAGTATTTTTTAATTATCAATAAGCTTACTTAGCTTATATCCAAGTCTTTCAAACAAAAGTATGTACACGCTGCTATTCCACGAAGATAATAGACTTCATTCACTGTCATGAAAATTATCAGCAGTGTGAACATGATACCTGTAGTTGATGCTATAAAAAGTGCAAAAATAAAAAGCAAACAATGAATCCAATATCAAGAAAAATGGTGAAAATTTCGAAAATTAGTCCTAATATGGTGATCCAAAACAATAACTCTTTGAGCAGCAATTCGTCAAGCAGTAATCTTTCAATCAGCAATTCTTCGAGCAATAACCCTTCGGGTAGCCGCAATTCTATGAGTAGCAACACTTCAAGCAGCACTAATATTTTCCAAATCAACAATAACTTGGAAGATTTCCTGAGCATGACAAAATCATCAAAGAGCAAATAAATAACTCACAAGCAGGAGGCAGTGCAGATAACACTCAAAATAATCACTACAATAATGATTATAGTGGATTGCTTTATAGTTTTTTTAAATGAAGTAGAAGAATATATTAGTACAAATTTTCAAGAATTAGAACACGATAATGAATTTATAAAATTGGATTTTGAAATTGAGATAAAACAAAATTTGCTAAATGCATTTCTTGTGATTTTTAGTCAAATACACTTGATTTAGAAACAACCAACAATTTTCATTAACTTGCAAGAATTATTATTATTGTTATTAAGTTTGAATTTTATTATTATTAAAAAATATATAGTGTATATTTAAACTATAATAAAAAAATTTATTAATTATATAATAATATAACTTGAATATACACAACAAGAAAATTATCAGTAACAAAAATTAGAGAATTAGTTATTAAAATAAAAAAGTAAGGCTTGAGTTTTAATCAATAAATATACTTGTACAGAAAAAATTTTATTTACAATTAATTATTAATAATATAATACAGTCATCTTTCTTTATAAGAATATAGACAGGTTATAAAAATTGGTTCTTATAGAGAGTTATTTTTATAAAAAGATTATTTTTATTATCAATATTAATTATTCAATTCTCAAAATTGTGTTTTTATAGAGAGATATTCTTATATAATGTGTACTTATATAGAGAAATGACTGTATTATATTCTAGTTTAAGTACAATATTTAAAAATATTTTATATTTACAATATTAAAAAGTACAATTTTTAGAAAAGCATCAAATATTAGATAATTTTTATTTATTAGAAAAATATTTTACTTACTTTTATCTAATTAAAATAAATTATAATATATATTATAATTTTATAAAAAAAATCTGATAATTAACAATAATTTTTTATTCTTTTACTTAAAAATTATCTAATATTTGGTACTTTTTTATTGTTATTATTTTTATAAAATTTAAGATATTTATATATTATTTATATATTATTCACATGTTTTTATTAAGTTAAAGATAAAAAAAATTAAGATTTTATAATAAGAAAAACTAAAAACTATAATTAAAACTAGATAATATATATTATATTATAATAAATTAAAATAATATTTAATAACTTTATTATAATTTTATAATTTTAATAAATTTTAATTAAAAATACTTGTCAAAATTTCTCTAAAAATATTTTAGCAGAGTTACAAATTGTTAATTAGAATTTTAACAGAATTTTAATTTTAATGAATTTCAAAATTTGATAAAGTTTTAGTATTTTATTTACTAATAATTTATTATGATTTTAATAGAATTTAGATAACTACTAAAAAACTTTAACAAGTAATTTTAGTTTTAATATAATATTAAACACTAAGTTTTTCAAATAAGTTAATTAATAATAAAATGATTTATTATAAATAATCTATTTTTAAAATCAAAATCAATATAAGAATTTATTATAAAATAAAAATCTATTATATTCTTAATATTATTTTGTTAGTATTATTGTGCTAATTTTGCTATAATTATTATATTAATTTAGTTATAATTTATATATTAATTATATTATAATTATTAATTAATTTTATTATAATTATCATATTTTATTTTATTATAATTATTATATTATCTAATATTAATTAATAATATTTTCTATAATTAGTATTTAATAAAATATAAGTTATAATTATTTAATAATATTATAATATAAAGTATTCAATAGAATATATAATATTTAATATAATAAAGATTTATATTATAATATTATAATATTATAAAAGTATAAGAATAAATAAAGAAAAATATTATATTATTATAATATAAAAATAAAAATTTAATTAAATAATAATATTAATATATTTTATTAAATAATATATATTAATATTATTATTGAATAATTATTTATAATTAATTGTTATTAAACAATTATATTTTAAATAATTATTGACTAACAAAATTATGAAATTATATATATAATTTTATTAATAAAATATATTAAAAATTAAAATATTTATCTTATATAAAAGTTTTTAATTTATTAATAAATATTTTTTATTTTTATATTAAAACAAAAATTATAAAGATATAGTTTAACATACAATTATATTTTGATATAGTCATAAAGCTAAAAAATAAAATTGAATATAACTAAGATAATAGTAATTATAAAAAATTTAAATTTTGTAAATTTTACAATAAATTAATAAATAATAAAAAGAGTTTATTTATAAATTATAATTATATTAAAAATAACTATATTGAAATATAATTATATATTTTTTCTGGATTTTTTAGATTTTTTTGACAAAGTTATTTTAATTGCAAAGTTATTACAAAAATTTTTTATAATTAAAATGTAAAATTAATTATAAAAATTTTATAATAACTTTGCAATTAGAATAACTTTGTCAAAAAAATCCAGAAAAAATATATATTAACTATAATTTATAATTTTTATTTTAATATAAAAATAAAAAATATTTATTAATAAATTAAAAAAAAAACTTTTGTATAAGATAAAAATTTTTATTTTTATTATATTTTATTAATAAAATTACATATAATTTTGTTAATTACTGTATAAATAATAATAATATAAAATGATATATATAAATTCATTATTTTAGAATATTGTTATTTTAGTTTTTTGATTAATATTTATATAGCAAAAGATTTTTAATCAGTTCTTTTTCTAATTATAAAAGAAAGTATATAACAAATAAATTTATTATTAAGAGAATTATATGTAATAAAATTTATAAATTTAAAATAGTTTTATTAATAATATTTTTTTATTATTATATTTTTAATATTATCTTTATTAGCACTTTGTAATAAACTATACAAATATATAATGCAAAAACAAAAAATTATTAGACTATTTCAAGTCTAAAACTAAAATTATTCAAAGACAAATTTGAAAATTTTAAATTAAAATTCTAATAACAATTTTATCTTTTATTTATAAAATAAAATACTATTTATATACAAAAATAATTGTTAAAAATTTGTAATACTAATTACAAAAATAGTAAAGAATCAATATATTAATATATCAAAATATTAAAACATTAAAAGATTAAGAAATTAAAGTATCAAAATATTAGAATATCTGTTATATTAATTAATAATAATAATTAAATTAAGTAATAAAATAAATATTCAATAAAATGCAAATAAATATAAATCAATAAAATATTAAATATTAAATAATCAATAAAATATAAATAATAAAATATACTATAATAATATTGTATTAATATAAAAAAATTTTAGTTTGAAAATTTATATATATATATTTTAACAAAATATAATAAACTTGAAATTATTTTTTCTATTAAAAATTTTTATTTATTAATAAAAATTTTTTGTTTATAATTTATTATAAAATAAATTTTAAAAATAATATGTTACTTTTGTAGGTTATTATATAATCAAAGCCATTTATAGTTATCATTCTTGAAAAAGTGAAGTTGGATAAATAAAGAAAGATGTGATTATAAAAATGTATTTTAATTAGTAATTGGAAAAGTCAAATTGGATGACTATAAAAGATGTGACTAGAGATTTGACTATATATCAAAAATTATAATAATTTGATATTCAATATTGATTATTATGGATTTTATTTATCATTTAACATTTATAAAATCTAACTTTGAGTGATTATAAAAGAACAAGAAACGAGCATATGGAAATCGCCATGTTCAATTCACGTGAATGTTTATCGCGTGTATATCATATATTCCCACGCAAAATCCCGTTGCATCATTGACAAAAAGATCAAGAGAAAAAAGATAAGACAATAGTAATGCAATGTTGCGTGATTCTTAGTCATAGTTCACCAACTTTGATCACATGATCATTTTTTCATTATAAGAATAGGAAATACAAAACGCCACCATTACATGCACAACGTACTCTCAAATGATCCATCCCAATAATCCCCAATCAATTAATTAAATCAATCAATAGAAAAACGCAATTTTTTCCCTTCTTTCTCTACTCCACCTTTTGCTCTCCATTCTTTCCAAATATCCACATCGTCATTCACTCTTAATATGCATAAATTTAAATATATATACAATATATAGACCTTGGATTTTCAATTACCACATTTATAGACTAGTATTATATAATAACCACGACGAATGTTTTTCATTCTCTGATAACATCAAATTCTACACTTTTCCATATTTATTATAACAAAACCTAGAGAGATACGTAATAAAATAAAACGACTCGCTCGAAAAAATTTTTTACATTATACAAACCAATTATACATATCTTTACTATTTATATAATTATTTATACATTATATATTATATAAATATAATATACGGTCTTTCTAAAAAGAACTCGCAACATGCCCGTGTTCTCCATTCCAATGGTATTCACTGACAATAGTGACATCACCGCCACCACCAACATCGCCATTTCAACAACAAATACAAATAATAATATCATTGCTGTATCAGCAGCGACAGAAACAGAAGCAAACACTAACAATCCCAACTCCCCTCTTAATACTCAGGTCAACAATAATAATAATCAAGAAATTAAATGTTTTTGCATTGATGGTAGTAGTAATGGGACGGGTAGCGGAAGTGGTAACGGTACTGGTGGTGTCGGCGAGGAGCAAAAAAAGTTTCAAGAGACATTAAAGCAAGAACAATTGATAAAAAAAAGAAAGCAACGTTTATCGTTGGCCACTGAATTATCGGCGGTTAGACTATTTCCTTCTTCCACTTGTTCTCTTTATTCTGGCTCAAAGTTTCGTGGTGAGCAGCGAAGTGGTAAAAGCAGTTATGAGGTCGCGGTGCATATTCAGGTAATTAATAACTATAAGGGAAATCGGGGAATTATTTATCTATGAATGGTGAGGACTGAGGATCGAGCATATATTAAATCAAAGATACGATGATGATTGAAAAATGGAATCTTATGAATAGAACATTTTTCTGGAACATTGGATCGTCGGGAACAGAAGAAAGAGAATGCAGAAATATTATGTTACAGGAAAAACACAGGATGCATATAAATTTGTTCATTATTCTCATAATTATTTTATTCTGCTTATCATATTTCAGCATGTTGATCTCGCTGAATCTTTTCTCTGCGGATATCTTCACATAAAAGGCTTAACAGAAGATTATCCGGAGCTCACTACTTTCTTTGAAGCCGAAATCATTGGTAGAAAGCATTCCTTTCTAACAAAGAAATGGGATGCAAATGAGAAGATAGACAATCAACACTGGGTAAATTTTATTTTATTATCTTTTTCTTCTGTTTATAGATTAATTAATTTCATGATATTTATGTATGCAATAAATAGACAAAATTCCCTGCGTATAAACCAATTCAAAAATACATGAAGAAGGATAACTTCATTTATGATTTTCACAACAAAGATTTCATGTTCATGCGATGGAAAGAGCACTTTTTGGTGCCTGATCATCGTGTGAAAACGATTAATGGTGCAAGTTTTGCGGGATTCTATTATATCTGTTATCAATTGAGCACGGGCATCATTACGGGTTTTTATTTTCATAAAAATTCAGAATGGTAAGTTTATTTGAATTTTCTTTGTATGTCGAAACATACATTTGATTAAATAATAAATAAAATAATTAGGTTCCAAGAATTAAAGTTACAACACACGCCAGAAAACTCCTTCCCATCATTTGAATTTCGATGAGCCCACTCAATTCTCACACCCATGCATTCATATCTTAATACGGTTTATCAACAAATCCGAATTCATTCAAACACGTAAATATGTAGCAAATATTTACCTATTTCTAGCATTCATAGTATTAAAACAATAATGGTGATAATAATAATAATAATAATGATGACAACCCCAATCAAAACATTCACAAAGCAAGCAATCAAACCTTTATTACTGTATCAATTCACCGAAAAAGTAAAAGAAGGTATTACTCTAAAAAGGAATAATTCGCTCACTCTTTAACCTCTACCAATCTATCGGCCACCTTTATTAGTGATCTTTGGATAGATATAAGAACATCATCATCACAATCAACCTTTATCACGTGAGTGAGGAACAGCAGGGGTATTTACGACGAAGATAATTATCACGTAAGTTTTGCATATTGGGATACATATATAATCCACTACTAATAGTTAATTAATTAGTAATTAGTTCCTTAATTATTTACTGTATTATATATATCTTAACAATAATAAATGGTTGAATTTATTTTATTTTCTTTTAATCAATTATTTTATTACGCATCTCCCATCTCCCTTTGATCTATGTATATATATAATTAACCCATTAAGTTTCCATCATATATTAAATTATGTCATCCCTTTCTTATGCTTCTTCCTCACTCAAGATTTTTTAATTATAATCAATCAATTCATTAACCATTAAATAGTGATCAATCTTGTTCTTATTTTACTTTCTTTTATTTCCGAGTAATCTTTATTTTTCTCTCCCTTCCCTTCCCTCGATCATTACCATTATCGTCGCCACCTACGACAAAAGTTCTTGCTTGCTATATTATCCGTTGTTTTTTGGGTTATGCTTTACTTTCTTTTCATCTGTTGTTTTATTATTATTTTTATTATTATTATCAACTATTATTAGTATTATTAATATTTAATTAAATCTGTACAGACTTTGCACCAGTAAACCATTTTTAAAATTACAAGTGTTGGGTGTTTGATTTGTTTGTTTATTGAAATATTTCTTTCTAATGTCCGCTGGTATTTATCTGTTATTACCACCTGTATCATCAATTAACCTTAAATAAACAAAGCCATTCGAATTTAATTTTCTTATGTGTTCTAGCTACTGTTTTAATAATAGTTCTATATTCATCTCGATATTAATTCTTTAATTTCTATGCTGAGGTTTGTGCTAGCTTGTTGGTGAGATCTATTGCTTCTTTTATTTTTGCATGTCATGGTTTTGGATTTTTTCTCTAATTATCGCTTCTTTTTTAAACTGATATACAGCGGCTCTCAAAAGTATGGAATCACTCCAATCAAAATTACAATATATCAGAGATACTACAATTATAAAAATCATACCAATAAATTAGCAATCAACTACATTATAAAAAGTAAATTTCAAATGATTACTGATTAGGTATATACCATTTTCGGACATCCATGGTCTAAGGATCCAATTCAGACTTCGATCCAGAAGTAGGCTTCCGTGAATGCTTTGAGATGGACGTGTAACAATAAGCGATCACGCAAATGAATTGATATTGTGTTGAATAATAACTTCGTAATTGGTCTGCAATGTCCACTCCCCCCCCAATATAATCATTGTAATCATCAATTGGTACTGGAATAGATATGATTTTTCGAGTCTTGTGCAAAGATTAAAGGGATTCAACGCAACCCTGTTATGTAACCTACCTAACACTAAACTAATAACCCGTTTAGGCAGAATTTGAATCGTTGTGCGGATCACAAGAAATTTGCTCTTAAAAATTATTAGAGGTTATAAAAGCATCTTATTTCATATTAGAGTTTATGATTTTCCAAAACCACCGCAAAACATCTTCGGCTGTTGGTCTATTCAATTCATCTTTTTTCGTTTCGAAGAAGCTAGATGATCATGATTTTCAGATCCCTTTTCCTCCCCTCTCGCAAGACAGGCACCTAACACCAAATACAAAAGATTGTGAATAATCTGTTGAGAACAAGCCAATTAGAGATACAAGTTACAGTGATGCATCCTTGATATACTTTCCAACTTACCAATTTCGCGCTTGTTTAAGGTTCAAAGCGGGACCTAAGCGAAGCGGTGGGTAACATTAACGTATACAGACGATTGTAAAAAATAACAAGAACGAAATGATAGTAAGAAGCAATATATTCGAATGAACCTCTCAATTAAATCTAAATATCGATTATAGGGCCACCTGGAATCCCCAATTTATCTTCAGAAAACGCGATCCTTTGTTTCCGAAAGGCTTGGAAGTCTTCAAAAGCATGCTAAACTTTATTAATAATATCAATATTACGTAGATCTTTAATTATCTGGATACTGGCCGTGCATGTCTAAAGCCTGGTCCATTCGATGATCAGTCCGAAACACAAACCAATAAGCAAGGCTGTCTTTTAGACAATTAGACAGCGTGAGAAAAAAATATTGTGGTTCCTTATATCAATTAAATAAAGATATCGAATGCTTTAGATTTTGTATTACTTTCTTCCTTTATATTTTTAGACAACTTGTCTAAAACTCACAATTTTCAAAATCTTGTCTAAAAGACAGCCTTGCAATAAGGATGCGTAAATTTTTGATCAACTCGGCAAAACAAATCCGAAGCGCGAGCAAAAACATGAAAAATAACGAAAAACAGATACTTAAATCTATCTTGGTATACAAATAAAAATTTCGGTGAGGCAATTTTATATATAATCTTGATTATAACCCTAATCCTAACTCTAAGCTTAAAATCAACCTTTGATTATATACGTAGTTATGTATCATGTGATAGACCAGGCTTTAGAGAATCCACCAGAGCGATCCCAAAAGTTCGGGCCACGTGAAAATTTTTTGATGATGTCAGCGATGATTACCGATTAAATTGCAAGATCAATGTGTAACACAAACATAAACAAAACAAAGATATATTTTGAAAAAAGACTTGTATCTCAAAATTTAGCTTATTGTTATAGTCAAATCTTTTTATAGTCACATCCATTTATAGTTACACCCTTTTATAGTCATCCTATTTTGCTTTTCCATTTATATATAAATATAGTAAAAAAATTCCTCTATAGTTACATTCTTTTTATAGTTGTTCATGTGAAAAATAAGCAAAATATAAAATAATCTTTTATTATTATTATATGGTAATCAAAGTGTTAAAAGATTTACTAAGAATTTAAGAAAAATATGAATTCAAAAGAACAAAATAAGTTCATTAAGAACAAAATGAGTTCATTAAGAATTCAAAATATTGTTATATGAGTTTAAGTTTGATTAAAGATCAATATATAATATTATATATTGATTTATAACTTTAAATATAAATGATAATTTTACTTATAAGTACAATTTATAATATTTAATAAAAATTAAAAGGTTACTAAAGTATTTTTATTTTTATATTTATTAAATTTGATTATAAATATTATATAACTCTCTGAATAATTATTATTAATGATAATTATCTTATACCAATTTGTAACTCTTATTTCTGACTATAACTTTACTTATAATTATAATTTATAATTACTATAACAAAATAAATATTTATTATACTCTAACTAAAGCAAATTAAAATTATTTTTTAAATTCATATAACTTCTTAAATATTGTTATCATTCTTATTTTGATAGGTAAAGTATTAACTAATTATAGTAATTAATTAAGAATTATATAAGAGTGATAATAATGACTGTATATACTTGAGAGAGTCGAATACTAGATGGTTGAGAGAGAGTATTAAAAAGAAATAGATTCTGATACTTCCACTAGTTGTATAAGTATTTTATAATTCAAAAGTGCGAATGATTATTAAAATACAAAAGATGACTTTCACTAGTTGGATAAGTTAAAGTTAAGTAAAGAATAAACCAAAAATAACAAGTAAAAGATTATTTATAAATATCAATTAACTTTTATACTTTATTATTTTTAAGATTATTACTAAGATTTTATATTAAATTATATCTGTTTAAATATATATAAATGTAATACAAATCTACATGATGAGTGATGTTACTTAAAACTAATTATAAGATAAATTTGAAAGAAGTATAATACCAAGAAATAATAAGTATAATACTAATTTAATCTAAGCAATACAATTTAAATTAGAGTGACATTAGCATTATATTAATTAATATTAAATGAAATTAATTTAAAATAAAATGAATTTAGATCCAATAATATTATAATGAAATAAATAATGTGATATTAAAAAGAATTAATTGGTATTTTTGATAAATTATGTGTAAATTAAATAAATTAAATAATTAAAAATAAAATTATAAATAGAAAAATATAAAAGAAAATATAAATAATTATCAAAATTATGTCACATGATATTTTACATGTGATCCAAAATATCAAATAATAACAATCTTCTCTATTTAAGAGTTTTATTGTGAAAAATTCAAATAATTATAATAGACTCTAATTTGTTTAATTCAACATAGAGCTTTAAATGATTATCATTATATGGATTCTTCAAAATTTTTTTATCAAGTGTATGCAATTTATAAGTTCCTTTATCAAATTTGTCATGAATATAGAATGATCTTTTTCATTTTTCTCCAAATTTGTTATAATATCAATATTGAGTTTTCATCCACTTCATTAGAACTTTATCTTCAATTTCAAATACTTGAATGATTTTGTTTTTATTATAATATTCTTTTTGTTTCAATTGCACTTTTTGAATATTTTATAGAGCTAATTCATGATTTTTTTCTAGTTGATCAATAATTTACAAGCTCTTTAAACTATTTGTTCTTCTAATATTGCTTTTTGATTATTTGGTAATTCTAATTAAATATCAAGTAATATTGTTACAATAGTAATATAAAAATCGCAAATTCAAAAATAATTAAAAAACATAAAAAATTTCAAAAATATTCATATAATGATAAAATTCCCTATTATTATTTTACTTTTCATTATTTCACTATTTATTATTTCACTTTTTATTTTTCACTTTTTATTTTTCACTTTTCCGA